AATAAGGATCAGACACATGTGATGATTGTCATTCTATCACCAAGTCTAGAAGAAAGTTCTCTTGGCCATTATTAAGTACCTTCCTTTTTCTAGAAAGTTCACAACCAATCCCAACACAGCATGCCACATGTTAATAAGGATTCTATAATCCTTGAGAAAGTTCTGAGAGATCATTCATGTTCAGTCAGCATTAGCTGTCATTGTGTATAGATATCCTTTGAGGTTTCCATTCATATCAACATATCTTTCATGGAATACATTCCGGGTAGTACTTTTCTTGTTTGAGCTCTTCTACATTTTGGGAGCTAATGTCCTCCGCCCTCCGTTCTCCCAAATACATACAAATACCTGGTTTTTACAGTGTATTTGACAAGCTTATGGATATAGCAATTCCACATCCAACAAAAGATGTGCAATATTCATGTAAGTGTTGTTATGGGCATGGATATGTATTCTTATTTTTGAATAATATTAGAAAATTTACAGAAGGCTGAAAAGGAGTACTGGATTTTAAATGTCATTTGTCCTTTAAAACTCAGTGTATATAATATTAAAAGCAATTAAATCCCCTTCCTGTTAACTGAACATATTTATTTTAAAAAGATCAAATCTTAATTTAGAGGAACATTTAGCAAATATCCAATATTCTTCTTCTGAAATTAGGAAAATAATATTAATTTATTAAACTCATATGCCAGCCGACTCTTAATGAAAAAATACAGTCTATTTATAAGGTATGTTAAGATGTACTGAAAATAGTCTGAAATAAATATTGGTGCTAATGCGTTTTTGGATTCTTAAAAAAAATCTCAAAATCATTTGATTAAGGGTAAGCTAGATTTAATTATTTTTGTGACCATATTGTTGTCATATATGTTCCAAAATACAATTTGAAATTGAGATCCCTTCCTATTGCATATACATAGGTGCCTTTTAATCACTGATATAAGTTGCCACAGCAAACTAGCCTCCAAATTTGATCCATGGAGTTGATTCTAGATGAGAATGGTGGGGAAACCTCTTTAGGCTCTTTTCTTGAAATGGAAATCAAAAAGCCTCTCAAAAAGATAGGCCTTTCATGACTAGACTTCCACTGGACAGCAGCAGTTTTTCAGCCACCTGGTGGTCTTCCAGATTTTTTTCATCCAAGATGATAGTCCTAAGAAAGAAAACAATCAGCAGAGTTTTTCTGGAATATTATTCTTAGTCTGAAAAATGTGATGCTCAGAGTAGACAGGTGAATGGTTACTAGGCCGGCCTCAATTTTAGGGATCCCAAAAGTAGGGTTGCTAAACAAAGGGGGGGGGGAACGGGGTTAGATCATGCTTGACTGAGTTTAGGCTGGCAAGCATAGCAGCCTCTTCTCCTGAGACAGATGCAATGCATCAAGTTAAAAGAAAAATTAGTATTGAAAGATGTGTAATAGTTGAGACAAGCACTATTCACAAGTGCAAACACAGACATATATAATAAGTATATATTGTATATTTTTATTAAGTGCAGTCATGTTGGGATATATACTATAAACATTATGCATGCATGTAAGTGTGTATGGGAACACATGGGTGTATTCTAAGAAATTACTAAAGAGGGTGAAAGCCCATTTTATTAAAGACTGGAGTGAAGAATGCAGAACTGGGACTCATACTGTAGTTGTTCTTGTCAGAAATAACCATTTCAAATAAATATAACTTCAAATTTGAGTTTATAATGGAACACTGACTATTAGCTTTGGCACTGAAAATACCATTCTAATTTTGATTTTTTTTAAAAAAATGTAGATTCTGAAGCTGAGAATATAGCTGAAGCATATAAGGTTCCATGGGACAGAAGTAGTTCTGTGGTAAAGCTTATTGGCTCATATTGCAGTGTTTGCTTTTTCTTTTTTTTACCCAGTAAAACAAACTGATACCCTGTAGAGCCTCTGGCTTTGCTTTTGCTTTTCTTCCTCTAAGCACAGGTTCCATCATCACCCTCCACGGAGAAAATCTAAAGAACCTCACTCTACCAATTCAAGTGCAAATATTATCCATTCCTGGAGCACGGATAGGCATAGAACCAGCTCTGGTAAGCCTGCTGCAGAACTAAAACAAAAAAGTTGTGTCAAATGCATTCATTAACAATAAACTTTGTGAAAGAATTTGGAAACCAATACCTTAATTGTTAAGTCCTTGAAGCGAAGGCGAAGGAAAAGGACACATTGCTGTATAACAACCTTTTATTGTGCATTCAGTCAAAACTCCAACAACGAGCAGCTGCATGCAGGCCTCCTTTTTATATGCCCAGATCCCCGGACAGCATGGTTACATAATAAGGCACTTTTCGCGCCTTGCACACGCGCGCAAAACCGGTGCCACTTAGTCTGGTCCCGGGCAGCTTTTGCAAAGCCTGGGACCCTTGCAACGTTCCGAGCCTGCATTTGAAGGCTCAGGACACAACATTAATAGCAATAGCACTTAGAGTTACATACCACTACACAGTGTTTTACAGCCCTCTCCAAACGGTTTACAGTGTCAGCCTATTGCCCCAACAATCTGGGTCCTCATTTTACTGACCTCAGAAGGATGGAAGGCTGAGTCAACCTTGAGCCAGTCAGGATTGAACTCCTGGCTGTGGGTAGAGTTTGCCTGCAATACTGCATTCTAACCACTGTGCCACTACAGCTAATGAAGAAGAGATTCAGTTGATTAAACTTTATTTAAAAAAATAATAGGATAGTATGCCATACATCCATTCTTCTCCTAAGAATGTTTCTGAACTCCCATTTAACAAGCAGCTTATCTCAGTCAAATTCATTCAAAATAAGTGTAGGAACAAGGTGAAGCAGATTAACTTGCATTACAGCAGAAATGAATATCTTTTTAGCTCAAAACAGATGCTGATTGGAGGCTTGATGAAAAAGAGTTAGACTTGTTTTTTTAAAAAAGCAATTTTCAATGAGTCTCACAGGCAGTTGAGCCCAGAGCTTGCATTTTCCAATGGAGGGTTCCAATGGCTTCCAATGCTGGGGGATTTCAGTATTTGAGCAGCTGTACTCTGAAGGTTTGCAGCCATTAAAATTTTATTTTATTTATTTAAAACATTTATATAGCCGCCCCTCTTTACGACAATTCTGGGCAGCTCTCAGTAAAAATAAATTAGAAAATAGATTAAACAAGCTAGACATATGTAGAGTCTGGAGCAGGAAAATATGGTATTGTAAATATCATATTAAATGTTGAGTTTGATGAGGGATGAATATATTATAATTGTTTCTTAAATCATAAACCCCAAGTGGTCCATATTCTGTTTGTTTTAAGGCCTGGTTGCTTTTTTTAAAATGGGTGTCTTTTTTCTCATTTTCTGTCATAATAGCTATTCCAGAGCAACAATATCCAAATAATCTAGAATTGGTCCACATCAATGACATTTTGACAAGGGGCATCCCCCAAATAATTTTTGTACCTGATTATATACAGTAATGTACCTAACCTAATCATAAATTACAAACCAGGAATACACAACCAATCATAGTTTTAAAGCAAGATAAATAAAATTGTATTTTTTTTAAAAAAAATCAACTTCTAGGGAATTATCACACACCAAACCTAAAAATAGGGGACATTCTCAGAAAATATTTACTCAACAGTGCTAATGACTTCAGCTAGGTTTCTAAAAAGCAGCAGTGGGTTATCTTCTTTCTGCTAAAAACATGCTTAGCTTCTACTGATAAGAGTTTAATTTGGAAGCCTAAGGTCTATTCCTGTATTTGATCATGAAAGGCCTTTGCATCATGAATGGATGCTTCCAGAATGCTCAGCTATCATAAAATCCAAATAAATACTGTTAATCTCCAGCAGCCCAATACTGGTCCCCCCCCATCCCCGTTTCTTTCTTTCTATGCCACAATATATATATATATTCAGAATGCCATTTGTGGAATCAAAGAGCTCAACATTTTTCACTTTCTTTTCTTCCTTCCGGAAGAGGGCCACTTTTTTTGACCTTGCTGAATTAAATTCTCCCAGATTCTGAGATTATATAGGGTTAATTCCTGTAACATCATTTCCAATGCTTCAGGAATCTCCATGGTCCCTTTCTATCCTCCACAATCCACTCTTTCCTCCCCCCTGCTCTTCTGAGAATAGCCATAAAAAGACCCTACTAGATTTTAAAATACCAGTGGTAGTTTCAAAGACTGCATTTGCTAGCTATTCTTCTCTTAGGGATGTTCAAAATATTGTGTGTACAAAGCATTCCCAGCACTTTTGGCTGTCCTGCATTCAAACCAATACACAATTATTCAGTGCAGGCAACCTTGAATTCAGGTGCAGTGAACTTAAATGGACTCCAGAAGATGGTAGAGGACAGGAAGACCTGGAGGAACATTGTCCATGGGGTCGCGATGGGTCGGACGCGACTTCGCAATTAACAACAACAACAGAACACACTTGCAAACACAAGTCCAAGGCAGAAAAAGTTTCAGGATGGAAATAATGAAAAAAGGCTATTGGAAGAGGCAGCTAAGAGGAAGAAAAGAAACGAACGGCATTGAAACATCAGAGGAGGAGGGTGAATAGGGAACTATGGCCCCTTTACGACCTGCGGACTTTAACTCCCAGAATTCCTGGCTCAAGAATTCTGGGAGTTGAAGTCCACAGATCGTAAAGGGCCCTAATTGCCCACATTTGTTTTTATAGCCTTGTCCGAATGGTCTTAGCTTCCTTCTCCCACGCGGTGGCAGGCTCGCTCTATTGTGTACAGGAATTGGGCCAGCCTCCGACCCGGAGTCCAAAACTAGGCCAAAGGACAAGAAAAGCGAAGTCGCTTGGTCTGGGGAAAGGAAAGCGTCGCTCCCCGCTGGGCGGCAGGGGGCACTCGCGAGACTCGGCCCGTGGGAGGGAGGCCGACCGGACAGCTTCGGAGGAGGGTTTTAAAGCGAGGGGAGGGGTTTCGCCCTACGCCCGTCTCGGAGCCGAAGGTATGCCGAGGGACGGAGGAGGAGGAGGGGGAGGGCTCTGGCCGGAAGCCCCTCTCTGGGGGGAAATGCAGCCTCGGTAGTCAGCCCAGGGAGGCGGCGGCGGTAGCTACCGCCAAGAGCTGATCGCCTGCTTCCTTGCCGCATTAGCGCCCGGCCTAGAGTGACACGGAAGGGGGGGGGTCCCCGCTTGCTTGGCGCTTACGGGACGATCCCGAGAGCTGGGAATTAAGCCGCTTTTTTGCCCACTTTTTTCTCTTGTAAAAATTAAGCATGGGTTTTGTAGTCTTGACCTGAAGCTTCGAGCGTGCCTGGAAGCCAGGGGGATGGGAGTCAATTGCACGCGTTCAAGTCAAGATTGACGGACTGTTGCACGCCCGGAGTCTGCGTGGTAGATGGGCGGCTGTATAAATTTGTCTGCGTATTTGTCTGTGTGTCTGTGATATATACGTAAGTATCTACACGTGTATTTATAAGCACAGACACAAACGTATAAGCAATGAGTTGGGTGGCTCTCTTAAATTTGTTTTATGTGTATATATATATGTATTCGTTTTCTGAGGTTTTCGCGGGTATTTGTATATAGGTCTTTGGTTGTTCGGGTTTTCTCCCGCGTAAAATTGGAAGTGTCTTGGCAACGTTTCGACGAAGTCACATTCGTCATCTTCAGGCTGGTGTTTTTAGCTTCTTGCTTTTAGCAAGAATGTGACTTCGTCGAAACGTTGCCAAGACACTTCCAATTTTACGCGGGAGAAAACCCGAACAACCAAAGACCTATATATATGTATTCATATACACATACATAAAAACAGGTATAAAACATGAGTTGGGTGGCTGTATAATTTTTTTATATATGCATGTGTAGGTGAATGTGCACACATTATATGTTTTATGTGTGTACGTGCGTGCACACACCCTTAGTTAACTTTATGTTTGGTTAACTTGTCACTTGGGCATGCATTGCATTGTATACAATTGATCTTTCTGCTTCCTGTTGATTGGTAGATCATTGCTGATCTCCGGAAGCCACATTCCTGATCTTTGGGGATGTCATCAATAAGTCTTGCCTGTGTACAAGGGTTTTGGGGCTCCATAGAAACAATCCAACTGCGTTTCTAAGAATAGGAAATGATAGCCTTCATGAAAGTGCCTATCAAGTTCACATCAAGAATATTCCCCAAAGATCAAACCAAACAGTAGAAGAAGCAATCAGTACAAGTGTATGTCAGTCTTATATAGTTGCCTGAAATATGAGATGTCTGGTTTGTGCCCAGTACAGAAGTGACAAATAGGGTATTTGGGCTTAACTTGCAATTAGTAAATCAAGAATCAATCATGGCTTATTGACTAAACAATAATTGGCTGAGTTTGCGCAGCACATTAAGGGTGCCCAAATAATCAGCAGCACTGAAGCTATTGAGATTAGCCATGCAATAAATGCTGTGGAAAATAAATAAGGCAGCCATCAGGTGTCAATCAAAACCTCTTCTAACCTCCTGGTTTGTTACAGGGTCTCCTGTTCGCTACACCTTAACATTGAAGATCTTGCCACCTCTAGTTGTTAGCATTGAGAATCAGTGTTCCTTGAACCTCTGAAAGGAGTTTGCCAACTCCATCTCTGAAGAGCATTCATTGATTTTGCCATAGGTAGCAAAATACAGAGGGATGTACTATGGCCACTCTCATTATATAACAGTGGAAACCTGCAGGTATAAGACTCCCAGCATCTCTTATATTCCAGGCTTGGAATCAGATATGCTAAAATCAAAGTGAAAAGAAATGGCAAAGGGAAAAAGGTTATTTATCTTGAGGAAGGGATGCCATGTCTATTTAAATATCAATACCCTTGCATTATTCCCTAATTATAATGTACTACAATTACAATTTAACTTTATTTATAAAATTTATATGCTGCCCATCTCACTACTGAAGCGACTCTGGGCGGCTTACACAATGATATGTAGAAACCCAAACTATCCAATTTTATATGTATTGCCTTGGTCCAAGAGAAGAATTAAGTCATCAGAAAGAACCTAGGAAATTATTTTTTCCCTACTGGGAAAAAGAGCAATTTGATCCCAAATAGTTATCCAGATACTGGATTCAGTCTTACTAACACCAGCTTTGTGACATAATCACATGCGATTTGGAATAAGTCCTGAGGACTAAATCCAAAAGGGCAAAAGAAGTCTATGGACCTTTTTGAGCATCAAATAATAATTTTGCCTGGGCCTAGGCTGAATGCACTCCCAAGTACTGCAGGAATATACAGTGCCCTTTGGGTATAAAGCAGGTGTGCCCAATCCACAGGCAGTGTGCAATCTCATAAGACACACATCCCTCCCAATAAAGGAAGTTTGTTATTTATGAACATTAACTATATTTTATATGTAGCCCAAGACAATTCCTCTTCACTCAATGCAGCCGAGGCAAGCCAAAATGTTGGACATGCCCGATATAAAGGAATGCTTGGAGGACTGATGGTATGAGAGCTTTGCATGTTTAGCCAGAGCACGAGAGCTGGCATTAAGCCAGAAAAGGATGTCCCATCTTTCATTGCAAAACTGGTCACAGAGTAAGGCTATCTATTTACAGTCCTCTAATCCTTACACAAACCAGTGAGTTAATTAATACATCCCACAACTCTGGTCGGTTTTCTCAGAAGATCTGGTTTCATTTTTACTGCTGGGTGATTGTTAGGGCATTCTTAAAAGCTTTCTCTGGTTTTCTGCCTGTTGAGTTTGATTCCTGGTAACTACATTGCCGCATTCATATTGTTTTGTTGGTAACTGTGAATTCCCATCACCTTCTTCCTGCTTTTTCTTTTTTGTTTTAAAAAAAAAAATCCAATCTAGTCTTGGGAAATACTGAATGTATTTAGTTCTGACCTTTTTGAGATAGCCATAGTTAATTACAGGTTGCTTCTTGCTGTGACACAATCATCCTCTCCTCCCTCCTCTTAAATATAGTTTTACCACATTCATTTTGCTGTTCTCTTTTGTTCTCCAGACTTTTCACCATGAGTGTGGATTGGATTGGCTTTGGTTATGGGTTGGTCGTGGCTCTTGGTGGTATCATAGGATATATTCGCAAAGGTAATAGCGGACTTGTACGATAGAGAAAATTATGTAATTGTTTTCTGCTGTTTCTTCTGCATTTTCTCAAATATTTTTGTTAAGTTCCATGTTGTTTTGCAATATGTTACAGCTCATAAGATAAGAGGAATGTGTGTAAAAAGATTAAGATATTAAGATAGATCAAGCTAAATCTGGATACTACTAAACCTCTTGTGTCTGTTTGATACTTTGTAACCTTCAGTTGAGTGAAATGGTGCATCATAAGAGCAGGGGTCTTCAAACTCGGCCCTTTTTTGACTCATGGATTTCAACTTCCAGAATTCCTCAGCCAGGCACACTGGGTGAGGAATTCTGGGAGTTGAAGTCCATGAGTCATAAAAGGGCCGAGTTTGAAGTCCCCTGTCATAGAACAACAACTTTTAAATCAATATATCTCAAATGGACTAATTTATAGAATACATTAAAAAGTGGGAATCCGTGTGTGCCATGGGATTGAAGTTTGCCAGAGTTGTAGCTGCTTCAGTGGCCCCATGCCTTCAAACTACATTTCCCAGTAATACGTAGGCTGCATGACACAAGGGAGAATGGGTACCCTCACTCTCTTTCCCGCCTCTATCTGGCCCCCGCTCCCAATTGATTGGTAGCAAGGCCCAACAGGTGAGCAGCCATTGGCTGCTTTGGAACCAACTGAAAGTTGAAATCTCTTAATAGTGGTAACCAGTAAGGGGAGAAAGAGGGAGTAACTTGGATGCCTGCTGGCAAGGTAGGGCTGGCTTGGGGGATACTGGCCATACCCCAAGCCATCTTTTTCCCTGGAAGGAGGAGGCCTTTGGGGAATAAAATATTGTTTCAGACATCTGTTTCTGGGATGTTAAAGGCCAGGTGAGGAGAAGTACAGTAGATTCCTTTTTCTCTTTTTGTCTCTGCAAAACAGAAAAATGTATTTGACACCAATTTCTAAAACTTTCCCCATCCCAAACCATTCCATTCATCATATCTTAATACGTTCTTGGTGCAACTGTTATTTTTCTACTGAAAACTAATAGTACCTAATTCTTTCCTCTCACTGACAGAGTGGCTTTATCAGCAGAATTGGAATAAATTTGGAAAGAAACAGAAAAACATGGTGGGAGAAACATGTGGCATGCAGTATTAGATTACAGAAATGCCATTTGCATATTAGATTGGCTGAAAGGTGCATATTTATTCTACCTCTGCTGAATACCTAATTCCCACAGCACAGTCTTAGATCTAAAGGTATTTACCCATGTAGTAAGGCTGTATTGCTATTATCCTTCTCATCTTTCATTTTACTTTCTACTGTTGGTATCTTATGATTATATTACTTTGTTATTTGTATGTATACTGAGAGCTTCTGCACCGGAGACAAATTCATTGTGGGTCCAATTACACTTGCCAATCAAGAATATTCTATTCTATTCTTGTGTAAATCTGAAAATATCCTACTTGAATCTCTGTGGAGCAGATATCAAAGAATGGTAGAATTTTGGAACAGAATGGGGGCACAGACTCCTGATCAGATACTGTTCTGAAGAACATTAAGATAATGATTCCCTAACTGCATTTGTACAATATTTTTGGGGATTGTTTCTCTCCTGTAGTAGGATAATTACTGTACATAGAGTGGTTGCTATAATTGCAACATAACTACCCCAAAGTTAATAGTGGGTTCAGAAAAAATCCTGAAAATCCCATGAAACCTGAATACATCATTTCTGCCATTGTCAGTATTGGTGTAGATTAGTCCTGTTGAACCACCAGTGTGAACACAGGACTATCAAGTCAGTCTATTGTAACAGAAGAATGCAGAAAAGAAAGTGATTGGGATAACAAGGGCTAGAAGCTTCCGAATGAATTTATCCCTTGTTCAGCTTCTGACTGCACACTTTTAAGTTTCATCCTTGGAATTTTTTTTCAATAAATCGGAGTATTGTTCAAAATAGCTGCTAATGCTGCGCTGGCAACAATTGGCGTAGCCAATCTTGAGAGCTCCCCCCCATGTATGTATGTATGTGTATATATGTGTATATAATGTTATACTTGGATTCTAGCCATTCACGTATAAGAAATGAAACTCTTTGTCAAATTTAATCACTTGGCATCATTTATTGTCCCTTTTTGCTCTTATTATCTGTCGAAATATGTCAAATAATTAAATACATTTTTCGGATTCCAAAAATCAAAGACATGTCTTTCAAAAACAGAAATGTATATTCTTTAAAAAGTACAATAAGACTTTTTTATTTTTATATATAAATATTTGTATATGTACATATATACATATATATATATACATATATATATATCATCTTTATTACAGGAAGTAAAATCTCATTGGTTTCTGGCCTTTTCTTTGGCTTGCTGGCTTGTTATGGAGCATATTGGGTAACGCATGATCCCAAAGATGTAAAGATATCATTATGTGAGTATCCTACTTCTTGAAAAGAGAAGGTAATTCTCTTTAGATTTCATTATATATTGGAGTTATCAGAATAATCGGAAACTGAAAACTAGTTGCTGTCATATGCATTATTTGTAAGAACAGAACATGCAAGGTAAAAACTTATTGTTGTCTATAAATTGCATCAATGTTGCATTTAGTGTAGGAGGCCATGATGCAACCTTGAGGCTTGAGGGCACTCCCTCTGCCTTGCTAACTTGTTAGTCTTCCTAATTTTGTTTTTGAACTTTGATTTCCATTTTTAACTTGTACATTTTAACCGGGTCCTTAATTCTGTTTTTAACTGTGCTTTTAGTCATATGTTTATACCTAAGTCACTTGATTGAGATGGGAAGTTATGGAAATTGAATAAATAAATTAAATAGTTTTTATTTCATTGTTGTAAACTGCCCAGACTCATTCCCTCAGGTGAGATGAGCAGTGTAGAAATTAAAACAAATAAATAAATTTAGTTTTGAAGTGTAAGATTGAGATGGGAGGGTTGACCCATGTTCTTTAAGGATGAAGAAATAATAATTGGTGAGCCATCCTTACTTGCGCGAGCCTGTAACTTTGAGGATTTCTCCATCACGTGCATGGAGCAAGCTTTGTAAAACCTGGAATTAAATGCTTTATCATTCTCATCAAGCCTTGTTATTGGCTAGATTAGCTGGAATGATGGAATTTATAAATCCACATTTCTGAAGCCTCTCAGGTTGGAAACTGGGTTTTGCACTTTATGGATTCACCTTAGACACACTGGGTTGCCATTTAATTGAAGTCTGAATATGCAGGTGACCTGGCCAAAATAGGTCTGGATCACACAACAAGATGTTTTAATTTAATCAAAACGCATTCTTTGAAAGGTACACGAGCTATTTCTTGTTTCATTAGTGAAATTTTATGAGATACAGTTAGTTGCCAAACAGGTTGTATATTTAGGAAAATAATTATGGAAAAAGAGATCACTGTTGCTGAGATGGAAAGATAGTGGTTCATAATGGGCACAAAGACACAGTTTGTCTTGACCTTGGTATAATGATTTCTAATTATAAAATGTTGATGATGTAGAAAAAACTTTTTTTTAATATTATGACATTTGAGTGATTTTTTTTTGTTTCAAGAGCTGTCTACTTAATTTGGAATAATTTTAATTTGTTGCCATAAATTATTATGAGAATATAGTTGAACCACAGTATAACATTTGCTAAAATAAACATCTTGTATTTTTGCCTGCAGTCACGGCTTTTACACTTACCACTATAATGGGAGTGAGGTTTAAAAGGACCAAGAAACTAATGCCAGCTGGAATCATAGCAGGTCTCAGGTAAACTGTTTTCGCTTCAATATGCAATCCAAAGCTTACTTATCCAACCCCCAGTGACTACAGTGGGTCATACTTGTGATTACAGTTGTGTATGATTGCACAGTGTATGATTTTAAATGCCATAAAAGAGTTCCTGGGTGTAGATAGGACTGATTAACATAGAATAAGTGTATAGATGAGTGGACACTTGTCATCCAGCCCTAATTATGCTATTTCTGAATGTACATTCTAGAGTATTCTATGATTCTGCAGTCACACTGAAATAGGGATTTTGTGTGTGTGTGTGTGTGTGGAGAGAGCGAGAGAGAGAAAAGGGAGTTGAGGATTTGCTTTCAGGTATTCAAAATCAAAGACTTCAAATGCCGGGTCATTTCCAGGCAGATTCAGTGCAACCTTAGATTATAGTGGTTGAGGCCCATCATACAGTATATGAACTGCAGCAAGTGGAGAAGCCTGTTTTAAGGCATATTTGCAGTGGAGATGTACAACTTCCAACCTTTTTTGAGGATGAAATTTTACACAGGTCCTTGGCCCCGTTGAAGCTCTCCATTCAGAGCTCCCTCCCCCCCCCTCTCCATACAACTCTGAATATAAAAATATAAAACTGTTCATGTCTTAATTGATCACTCATTTCTTAATTTTCTTTTTTTTAATACAGCCTGGTGATGATTGTGAGGCTTGTTTTCCGGCTCATATGAGAAAAGAGGCACTTTCAGATATCCACGGAATCATTGAATTATGGATGTCCCTTCTGAAAGATGAGCCATTTTGGTTGTGATTATGATGACATAAAAGCAAGGTTATTCCTCATGGACTCAGAAATCCATTCATTCCTTATGTGTGTGGGATTGCATTCTTTAATGTTTTAAGTAACATTTGTTTTGATTTATGTCTTTTTGAGACCGATGACTAACTTGGCCTTTTAATTATTATTTTAATTTGTGGGATAAATTTTCGATGTATGCTTTATTCTCCCTGGAATGAGTAGAAGCCACAGGACTTTTAAAACTCAGGTTTGTTATATGTGGTGGCATCTAATAAAGTCATACCTAGTCCTGGATGATTATAATTTCATAGTTCAAGATTTGGAATAATACAAATTTATGTATATGGATTATATTGGGCTTCTATCTTTGTAAGCCACCCAGAGTCACTGAGAGTGAGTTGGGTGACCATATAGATTTTCATAAATAAATAAAATAAATAAACCAACCAACCAAATAAATAAATATTATATTTCAGTTCCATTAAAATATTAATGAATTCTGTATTAATTTCTTATAATGCTAAAAAATTAGCTCCAAAACAGGTCTTGCTTCTGTCTTGAAATGCAAACAAATACCATATTAAAAATAAAAACACTTTTAATATTTTGGATACAAACTCTCTTGTAAGATGTTGACTTTCAGTATTTCTTAAAGTGATTTGAATGAGGTGATTGACCGGAAAAAGTGCTAAATTATTTTCATTCTTCTGTTCTCATTATCTGACCAAGCCAAAGGTTTGTTTATCAGGAATCCCCCAAAATTGAGAGATTTAAATTCATCTATTTTAAACTGTTTTTATGAAAATAATGTCTATGGCCAAGGGAGCTACTACAGGTAATCTTCCTGTTATTGCTGGTGTAGATATATGTTAATAGTAGTAGTAGTAGTAGTAGTAGTAGTAGTAGTAGTAGTAGTAGTAGTAGTAGTAGTGAAGTTGGACGGGACCTTGGAGGTCATCTAATCCAACCCCCTGCTCAGGCAGGAAACATTATACCATTTCGGACAAATGGCTGTCCAGTCTCTTCTTAAAAACTTCCAGTGTTGGAGCATTCACCGCTTCTGGAGGCAGGTTGTTCCACTGGTTAATTGTTCTAACTGTCAGGAAGTTTCTCCTTAGTTCTGGGTTGCTTCTCTCCTTGCTTAGTTTCCACCCGTTGCTTCTTGTCCTGCCTTTAGGTGCCTTGGAAAATAGCTTGACTCCCTTTTCTTTGTGGCAGCCCCTGAGATATTGGAACACTGCTATCATGTCCCCTCTCGTCCTTCTCTTCATTAAACTAGACATACCCAATTCCAGCAACCGTTCCTTATATGTTTTAGCCTCCAGTCCCCTAATCATCTTTGTTGCTCTTCTCTGTACTCTTTCTAGAGTCTCAACGTCTTTTTTACATTGTGGTGACCAAAACTGGATGCAATATTCCAAATGTAGCCTTACCAAGGCATTGTAAAGTGGTATTAACACTTCACGTGATCTTGATTCTATCCCTCTGTTAATGCAGCCTAGCACTGTGTTGGCTTTTTTGGCAGCTGCAGCATACCGCTGGCTCATATTTAGGTAATTGTCCACTAGGACTCCGAGGTCCCTCTCACAGTTACTACTATTGAGCAAGGTACCCCCTATACTATACCTGTGCATTTGGATTTTCTTGCCTAAATGTAGAACCTTGCTTTTTTCACTATTGAATTTCATTTTGTTAGATAGTGCCCAGTGTTCAAGTCTGTCCAGATCCTTCTGTATCTTAAGCCTGTCTTCTGGAGTGTTGGCTATTCCTGCCAGCTTGGTGTTGTCTGCAAATTTGATGAGTTTCCCATCTATCCCATCGTCCAAATCGTTGATATAGATGTTGAAGAGCACTGGGCCCAGAACAGAGCCCTGGGGCACCTACTGCACACTTCCCTCCATGTAGATGCGGTTCCATTGAGGACCACACGCTGAGTAGGGCCGGTCAGCCAGCTACAGATCCATGTGGTGGTGGTGCTTTCTACCCCACATTTTTCTATCTTGTCAAGTAGTGGGTTGTGATCTACTTTATCAAATGCCTTACTGAAGTCCAAGTAAATTATGTCCACAGCATTCCTCTGATCCACTATTTTTGTCACTTGGTCAAAGAATGCAATAAGATTTGTCTGGCATGATCTATTTTTGACAAACCCATGTTGGCTTTTAGTAATGACTTTGTTTGCCTCTAGGTGTTCGTTGATTCGTTGTTTTATTATCTTTTCCAGGATCTTCCCAGGTATTGAGGTCAGGCTGATAGGTCTGTAATTTCCTGGATCCATTTTTTTTCCTTTTTTGAGGATGGGAACTACATCAGCTCTTTTCCAGGCCTCTGGTAGTTCCCCTGTGTTCCAGGATCTTTGAAAAATATAGTTCAGTGGCTCCGATATCACATCTGCCAGTTCCTTGAGAACTCTGGGGTGTAATCCATCTGGTCCTGGCGATTTGAACTCATCTAGGCTGGACAGGTGCTCCCTAACCATTTTCTTGCCTATCTTAACTTGTGTTTCTGTTTTGTTTTTTATGGCATTATTTTTGATAGGTTGGTCTGTTTTTTCCCTTTGTGTAAAGACAGATGCAAAAAATGAATTAAATAGTTCTGCTTTCTCCCTGTTGCTTGTCACCTTCTTGCCACTTTCACCCATTAATGGACCAATCATTTCCTTCACTTTTTTTTGTTTTTTACATGTTGAAAGAAGCTTTTTTTTTGTTATTTTTGACTTTGGTCGCAAGCCTTAGTTCATTTTGAGCCTTGGCTTTCCTCACTTCATCTTTGGAGGCTCGGGCTATTTGCTGATATTCTGACTTAGTTATGTGCCCCTCTTTCCACTTTCTATACTTGTCCTTTTTATCTTTCAATTTGTCAGAGAGTTCTTTATGCAGCCATGCTGGTTTCTTTTGAGAGCTGTTATTTTTCCTCTTTGTTGGTATTGTGCTAGGCTGGGCTTTTATTATCTCATTTTTCAAAATTTCCCAAGCTTCTTGAGTTGTTTTCCCCTTGAGGATTGTCATCCATGGAATGCTTCCCAAGCCCTCTCTAAGTTTATTGAAATTAGCTCTCTCGAAGTCCAAGACTCTAGTTTGACTGTGTTCTCTTGCCTGTGCTTCCATAATGTTGAATTACAATATTGCATGATCACTTCCTCCCAGGGTTCCTATGGTTTCAACACCTTCTATCATTTCATCTCTGTTAGTGACAATTAGATCCAAAATGGCTAATCCCCTAGTTCCCTTCTCTACTTTTTGGGAGACAAAGTTGTCTGCTAGGTTTGCCAGGAACCTGTTTGATCTTCCACTTGGTGCAGAGTTTATTTCCCAGTTGATGTCAGGGTAGTTAAAGTCCCCCATTACTATTGTGATGTGCTTCCTACATAACTTAGTTAACTGACTAGTAAAAAGTTCATCTATTTCCTCTGTTTGGTTGGGTGGCCTGTAGTATACACCTATGGCAATGTCATTTTCCCTCCCTTTTATATTGACCCAAATGCATTCAAGACAATTTTTATCATTGTTGTGCTCTATTTCTGTAGAGATGTAGTTATTTCTTATATAGAGAGCAACTCCACCTCCTTTTTTATTTGGTCTGTTTCTTTTAAATAATTTAAATCCCTCTAGCTGTGTGTTGCATGTCTGGGTTTCATCCCACCATGTTTCCGTAATGGCAACAATATCATATCTGCCCTCATTAACCTGAATTTCTAGTTCACCCTGTTTGCTGTTCATACTCTGTGCATTGGTTTATAGACATTTGAGTCCTTTATGACTGGCCCTGTGTTTACTTTCTACATAACTTGTGTAGTGCCTGAGTTCCCCTATTGTCTTACCACATATTTGGTTAGTGCACTTTGTGTGGCACTCGCTATTAGAGGCTTGATTTTGCTTGACAGCAAGGTTGGGATTCTTGTCCACACACACATCTATGTTACATGCACTGATAGCCCTATAATTTTTAGATTGCCGGGGACAGGGTTGTTCTGTATCAATTAACTCACTGTCCCCGCTGTTTAATTTAAATTTTCCTCCAGAAAATCTGTGAATTTATAGCCAAGTAACTCAGTCCCTTTCTTTGATGGATGCAAACCATCTCTTTTGTACATCTTTTCATTGGACCAGCTACAGACATTGTGACTAATATATCCAAAGCCTTCCCCTTTACACCACTCCTTTAGCCACATATTGAATTGTGCTATGCGCTGGCCTTTTCCATTTTGCTCCTTATACACTGGGAAAACCTCTGAGAAAGTAAGCCTACAGCCTATTTTGCTAAGTTCCTTCCCCAAGCTCTGGAAATCATTCTGCACAGAGAGTACATCTTTTGGGGACAGATCTTTAGTGCCAAGAATGTACGATAGCTTCCACATCACAGTCCTTGCTGCCATTCTTGATTATTTTAGAAATACGCTTCTTGTCCTTACTGGCAATAGCACCTGGAAGACACCTGACCTCTTTCAAAGCCTCTGTGTCCTTTCCTAAATTTACATCCCTTATAATTGAATCACCTACCAGAAGGTAGCTTCTCTTTTTGGATGCCTTTCTATTCTTGCATGACTGATGTGTAATACCTGTACTTGCTTTTGTAGATACTAATGTACTTATTTTAAATCAGTGCTCACCATTCAGCAAAGACTACTTAACTTGTGGGTCAAGGCTGTGTTTGAGGGAAATACTAATTATGCTTACGTTGGTTTGAACATATGTCATAAATATGTCATAAAACATATGACATGTCATAAAAAAGGCCTGGAGGAACATTATCTATGGGATCGCGATGGATCGGACATGACTTCACAACTAACAACAACAACAATAATATAAATTACAAAACATAATTGGCCTAAATAAGGCTAATGACTCCTTCATGTTGAGGTAGACTCTTGGTGAATATATGAACATATCAGTGAACTTTTCTTGCAACACTTAAATGATGAAGGGATTGACCATCGCCATCATGATCAATGCATTCTGGGATTTGTTTTTAAACTTCCCAGACTCTCTGAGAACCGTAATATTTCCTGGGGGATTCCCATCCAAACTAACCATATTTGCTGGTTTTAAGTCTTTTTTTTTCAAGATCAACCAAAGTCATCACGATGCTGCCGCCTGCTGTGACTAGTATGAATAAATTAGTGAACTATATACAGAGATGACAAATGGTCGAATGACACCAACAAACATAGACATTGCTCCATTTGTGTCCCAAGAGGCTGTTTATAAGTCTATTTAATAAGTCCAGCAAGCATAAAAATATGTGAACTACAGATCTTGCCTTGCATGGGTAGCAGTCTGGGGCTTTGGGTGGTGGCCAAAGGGGGCATGGAGGGAGGGCAGAAGAAGGGGAGGGAGTCGGTTTCTGGCATGCCTCTTTTGTATAGTAGTAGCAATAGCACTAAGACTTATATACCACTTCATAGTGCTTTACAGCGCACACTGCACGGTTTATAGAGCCAGCATATTGACCCCCAACAATCTGGGTCCTCATTTTACAGACCTCAGAAAGATGGAAGGCTGAGTCCACCTTGAGCCAGGATTGAACTCTGGGCTGTGGGCAGAGTTTGCCTGCAATGCTGCATTCTAACCACTGTGCCACCAGGGCTTTTAATGTATGTGGCATGCTAGAAGCTGGCTCTTTCCTATCTTCCCCACCGCAGGTTCACTGAACCAGTCAGATTCTGTTGTAATGCTACAACTTATGTGGGGTGAAAACTGTGCTGTGTCTGTCCACAGTTCCAGCCTAGAGGGTCCCAAGGGTCGGGAGGAGTCAGGTTCCTAGTATGTCACATGTGTTTTGCCAAAACAAACTTGTCCACTTCCCAGCTCCCAGGTGCAAACTGATTTGTTCACATCAGCAAAAGTTTGCAACTTGAAGGTTTGTTAGCAATGTCTGTAGATTAGAATGCATTGCTGTAAATCGACAGGATTAACTTCTATATAGACATGTGTAGAATTACATATTACATGGTAACAAAAGAGAAATGTATTGAGTTCTTTTTCTAAAGTTATTACTACATAGTAAGAACTACAGAGACAGGAGTTAATGACATTACGAGTAAGGAATCACTGGGTGTTTTTAATGGTATAAACTGCAATAACATAATATTCTGGGGTAAGATAGGCTTTATTTGCTCATGTAAAAAAACAGCATTATACACGATAATTTTAGATACAAGGCCTTAAAAATATTTTTCATGTAAATTACTTATTTTTTCCCGTTTCCAAAGGATGATGATTATAAAATTAAAAGGAACTGCAATTTTATTTAGTTTATCTTTCTAATAATAGGATCCTTTAAAATTAGCAATATATTGGGAAAAAACTTATGCTAGTAGAAATATGCCAGTATTTGAAAAACTCTTTAGAAATTGAATATTTGTTTTATTTGTGCAAGCAGGTTTTCATCCAGTGGAGGTTTCCTTTGACTTCCAGGCTGCAAGAATTTCTTTATTGTAGGAATATTGCTTATTCTTGTTTTGAAAGCCTAGGAAAGACAGAGAGAAAGACAGAGAAAATCCTCTAAGAAACAATGAAAAATAAGATACGAGTTTACGGCCTGAAAATGCTATATATTTCTAGATGCAAGATGAAAATGTAAAGCTAGCCATCATTATTGTTGAAGTACTAAAAGTTTAAGTGCTAATAAAGTACAAAGTACTGCAAAGAAACATGACAATGGGTAAGGCCAGAAATCTTAATTTCAAAAATGTTCTTCTGAAAAGTAAATGGAAATTAGCAGAAAAATGCACACTATTACAGTGGAAAAGCTTGAAGAACTGGTTGTCATTGCAGAACTATTGTGAGATTTGGTTTTCCTTTTCCCTCCTTCCAATCTATACAACAAAATTGTATAGTGTTCATATAATTCCTCTACAGAAACAAGATTCTTCAAATAAAGTTCTTGCCTCACTAATTGAGTTTATATTGACTAAGAATCATGTATGACAGATAATATGTAGGTTTATTGTTCTCGATACTTGCTTTGTAATCTATCTCAGATGTTCTTGGTGGAAGACTCCCAAATCCTTTCCAGTATTTGGAAAAAATTACCAATCTATTTCTTTTTTTCCCTCTCTCACTTCCCCTTCTAGTCTTCCCTCTACACTCCTTTTTGCCCATCAAATCACCTGATGGTTGAGCAATTGGAAATAGCATTTAAATATTGAGCAATTTGTTCAAATAGGTTCAAACTGCAGTCCAGGCTAAGCTGCAAAGAAAGAATATGGCAAAGTATCAAAGAGCTGTGATACTTCATGACATGCAGTGAGTGGGTGAGGTTTTTAAAGGGAATTTTGTGTTATTGGATCTTTGATCTGTACTCAATAAGGTATATTTGTTAGCAACTTCCAAGAAACTTCAATTAGAGACAGTATTGATGAAAGGTGCCACAAGCTTCTTCTGCAGCTAGATTGGGGAGACCAATCAGTGTGGTGTCTGGTGAATCAGGTAATATGCACATTTAAGGAAAAACAAGAAAGTGCCCTTAAGCGCCCTCATGAAACAGATTCAAAATCCTGATTGCACTTGGAAGAGATGGTGTTTTTTTTCCAAGCATGTGCCATGTATCAGCATGGGCAGTGATTAGAAATGCCTACATTTCAGAAAGGCTGAATATCATCCATATTTTATGGCTGAATGTAATCCATATTTATATCATCCATATAAAGCAAAGGGATAGAAATTCATACTCATTCACTACATGAGATTACAGATATCAAAGCCGCCGCCGCCACCATCACCATCATCATCATGACATGCTGGTAACTGCAGTGGTTCTTTTAAAATAGTTCCAATCAGTGGCTGACAATCTAGTGTCTGCATTTACACTCTGTGAAAATACAGACTGCCTTATACTAACTAAAGTCACATAGCTTGCCAATTCCCACAGTGTTATTAGTGTCCTTACCTGCAGCAGAGGAAATTTAGTGAGAACATCAGACTTGAATTCTTCAAGCATTAAGATGGCTTCCAAGAGATGAACATCTGCCCAGCTAAACTTATTACCAACCAGAAAATTTTGCCCATGGTCTTTCAAAATCTACAACGTGAAGAAACCAAGATAAGATGAAGATATTTGGGAACTAAGATTGCAAAAGGCAAAGTGGAGACCTTCAAAGATAAGCTTCCTTAGTACATGTCTAACAAATGCAATATTTGCAACAGGAGCAAAATAATTGCTTTGGCTACTGGTGGTATACAATGGATGGTTCCAGACTCTTCAAAGGTAGTACTAGAGTCCAGTAACCATTGCTTGGAGAGAATTCTGATTGCAAGATATAAATTCAATAAATAAATAAATTCTGCCTTGTCCATATTTACATCTTGGAAACGTTCACTGGAGGATATAAATTCTGAGCCAATCTTCTCAAGCTGGTAGGTTCCAGACAGACTGGATTACAACCCCCATCATCCTTAGCCAGTACAACCAGGGGGTTACGAATGCTGTAGTTCAACCCAGCTGGAGGAAATTCATGGGGAAGACGAGTTCTAAAGCTGCCGCCTCATTATCATTTACCTTCTCGTATGCTGGAAAATATCTAGTTGTAGCTCTTTCAATAATCAAGGCGCTTTGCTTTTCTTTGTTTTCAGCAGGCTGCAGAGGAAGCATCATCACCATTAACATCAGATCAGTGGTTCCTTCCACATACATGTCAATCCTGAAAGACATGGTCAAGGTGGAGAGAGAAAATATCTTTAAAATTAGATGCCACTGAATTGGGCCCTAAATGACTAGAGGGACACATATATACTATCTTGATCTGTATAAAAATATTTAAAATGAATAGTTACTTTTAGGGGGGGGAAGGGAAGGCTATTTGAGAAATTTAAACTTGATAGAAGCTATTTCTACGTCTTTCTTAGTTAATGTGTGTAACCTAATGCCTGATTCCACTTTGCATGCATTAATTGCATTAAAGATTAGTCAGTTCAGTCAGTTAAAAATCAGTTTCCTTTCATAGATTATCATTTATTAATGCATTAAAGCTGAATGAATAAATGGCAATCTATGGATGGGAACTGACTGTTTTGAAAAAAAAGGGTTTAAAACATCTTCCACAACTGCTGTTCTATAAAACATATTTTTCTAAGATCACCGTGCAGGAGGAGAACTCACAACACTGCTGACCTTCAAATGAAACACTCCAACAAACATTGCCAACATTGAAAGAAGCTGAATGTTTTAATTCATTAACATCAGGAAGACCATACGTTCCTCATTCCTGCTTCAGAGGAAAGCTTTCAAAAACATAAACTCTTGCTACATGCACTTACAGCTTCCTTTTTAAATCATTGTTTTCTTACTCATTTTAACATTGTCAAAAAGCTATTTGTTCCAATCATTTGAAATCCAAATGAAAGATTTTACCAGGCAGGCAAAATAATAATATCACTGGATCTGGATTGCAAAAACTGGAGTGACCAGCAGATGGGAGCAAATAGCTACAAAAAAATCCATCTTTTTGCAACCATCTAGTGGTTGTTTGCAATACTGCAGTCCAGATCTGGCATCCAAAGCTAGTCTCTTGAATGCTGCATCTCAAACTTCATCTGTATTATATGTTATATTTCTGTTACAAGTTTATAATAAATTCAAGATTTTAATCAACATAGTCATAACCCCATACATTGCTCTCTCTTTCAAATCCTTTCCGTAGAGATTGTATTTTGCTGCAATATAGCTGAGAATGGCTCGTGTTTGCACCAGCTGCATCCCATCAATTTCCACCATGGGCACTTGCTGAAAAAGCAGCCGTCCATCTGGTGAAAGACAAATGAGAAGAAGAACAATTCAGAAAATAGAAATTCAATTCAAATGAAACTAAAAATGTTAATTGAATATTTCAAATTTATTTGACTGGCTATTTAATATGCTCTACAATTAAAAAAAACCCACATTAAAAATGCAAGTTTTATAGTCGCAGGATAGGCAGCACACCTTACCAGAGCAACATCCAGGTATAACCAGGATAAAATTTAATTAATATGAATTAATTTCTAGGCTCCAACTCCCAGCAATTTTACGAACAATTTTGCTGGCTGAGGAAATCTAATCAAGCTCAGGGCTCTTTTTTCTGAGTGCTACCAAATCATTCACATTGATGATCCACACTGATGATCCAAGTCTACCGGTAAGGTATATGGAGTCCTCCTTGGGGCTAAGTAGTAGTAGTAGTAGTAGTAAAAAAAAAAAAAAAACCTGTTTAGGATTGGATCCAGAAACACTCAAGCTGTCAACTGCCCAAGCTCCCAATAAATTTTTGCAATTCAAATGATGCCATTCAATTCACCTCAAAGCAGGGTGCCTATAAACTCTTGCCCTGATGTCATCATAAAAATGGATAATAAATTTTATTGAAAATTTGCATCCAACTCACCACTGCGCAACTTCTCCAAATCTTCTTTTGTTTCTAAAAATTGTTCTTCAAACTGCAATACAGAAATAAAATGAAATTCTTTTTCCTCTTTTTATAAGGTCATTTTAAAGAAATTAGCTCACGCTTGGCACGTTTTTTGAAACAAGTGTTAAGAAAAAAAAAAGCCAATGCAACAGAGGCTTCCTATTTGGGGGTAGAGGCTGATTCAAATTTTTTATGAAAAAGCCTTTGCAAAATGGCTGTTGAAAGAACCTTGTGCATTTGCAAAGAGGTTGCCATAGCTCCAGCTCCAGAAGGTCACAAATCCTTTAAGGTGACCTCAGTGACTATCATTTCAGCCTTGCAATTTTCATGACCACAATTTGCTTTCCTTGTTTAGGAATATTTTCTTCAATTTTCTCATCTAGCATATGGTCATGAACATTCCTAGTGCCCTTTGAGCCAAATTCTAATCAAATCAAGTCTGCTTAGCTTTTTGCAATCAAGCAAGGTCAGCTAAACACAGCAAAAGGCTTTACAAGCATATTACCTGAAAAGGTAATCAACTTTGTAATTTTAATTCCATTGCAAAACATGGTTTCGATTGGAAACCACTCTAATCCCCCTCCTGGATTCTGACTTCATTGTCCAAACAGGTATATCAACCTTCTCAAAACTTGTATTGCATATCAGCTCTTTTTTTTCTTTTTCTTTTTTGCACTTCAAGTGCATTAAATTCACCAATCCAGAGCCTCTCTAAGAGTTTGAAAAATCTGTTTCACAAGAGAAAAAAAAGGGAGCCCTGTCACCCAAGGGGAAAAATATTCTTTGAATGCTTTGATCAACCCACCTATTTTGTGAAGAATCTGTTGCAAGGGTGAATCATTGGTCAATCTCTGATGCTGTTATTACAAGATCATTTTGAGATGCCAGCCAGAGCCCTAGCTGAATTTTGTGCCCTAGGCTTGCAACAAGCATGATAAAACAGACCTCAACTCCAGCTGCTGCAAGTAACCAGCGGACAGATTCCATTTTTCCTCTTGCTCGAGTGTAGTGCAGTTTGGGTTTCCCGGCCATCTTTTTGGAAATTCTTCAGACTCTCAAGCACAGTAGATTAGGAAGATGGACTTTGTGGATGTCCTAAAACAGAAGTGGAAGAGGAACCATCATGAAACCAGAAGTAACTGCTTTTGCCACAAAAGCAATGAAACACACTCCATAGCATATACTGAGCTGAACTTGTGGACTGTGTCTTCTTCTTCAAGAAGACCAGGCTGTCACTTAATGGTTGGGTTCCCATCTTAAGCAGAATTCAATAGATCTAATTTTCCTCAGTGTCACCAGTAGCTGGAAAACTTTGTATTCTTAACTTTCTACTGGCCAGCCCCTATTCAACAATGGAGAAGACTTGCTAAACAAAAAACAAAAACAAACAAACAAAAAAACCCTACACCCCATTTGAGAAGATGACTTTAGAAAAGCCAGAACTACTTTTTGAAGTATCAGCATCTAGCTTGAGAGTTAAGAAACCTACAACTCCAATTATGGCTCCGTTATGACTCAATTTTAAACCAGCATATCTCATCCATCTCAAAGCAATTTGTTTCAGCTTAGATATATCCCCCCAAAATTCATGAACTCCAGACAAGTCTTTAAGCAATTGTTGTTCATTCCCTTACAATCCAAAAAGTGTCTAATATAATAGTATACGTTGCAGGGCATGAATTTACCTGCAGTCACTGCCAGATGAGTCTAGCACAAATGTCCTGCTTATTGTAGCAGGCACTGTAATTGCCAGAAGAAGCAATCAAAAGCACTCACCAGGTGTAGCTTCTCTGCTGGGTAATTGCTCTGAGAAATGCCCCCCCCCCAAATCAGCAAGGAGTCTGCAGTTGTGCCTGCTTTTGTACAACAATTCTTTTTGGGAGGGGGGGAGCAGGTGGATTTAAGCCAGTTTTTAAAATATGCTTAGTCATACCGTATCAGTCTTCAAGGATAAAGGGATCAGAATTAATTTGTGAACTAAATTTTGCAACAATTGAAAAAGAAAAAAACCGGACAGAGCAAATGATTAACCGCATTTAGAGCTGGCGAAAGAAGGCCACTATCAAGGTCATTCCTCAGCTATGCCACAGATAGACCATTCAGCAGGAATACTGTAGTTTCTTTCACACAAGGAAAAGATGTATCAGTTGCATTTCATGCAGCTGATAGAGGGGAACAAAAAATATTCAGCAGCCTTTGGGCCCAGCTTAGCTCCAGTCCTGACAAATTACATTCACACAGTTGTCTTGATTAAAAGGTGGATCTGCTAACTGACCTGGGGCTCTTTCTGGAATAACGAGTAGATTAGATAAAACCCTATCTCCACCCTGTTTACGCACTTGGATCCTTTCACCTAGCTGTTTATTGATGTTAATGTTTTAATGCTTAACATTTTAATATTTATAACTTTTAATTGTCTTTATTGTTATTTATGATACTATAAGCTGCTCAGAGTTGGTTGACAGGGAGCAAATAAATTTAGTAAATAAACAAATAATAATACAAAAATAGCCTGTTATTTCTTTCTTCCAGAATATAATTTCAAGCCCTAAAGCACAGATCTTCCAAAGTGGTCTCTGACTGAAACACAAACCAATCTTTTCTCTCTTTAGCTCTCTAGATAAGCCAAGATGACTTAAATGCCTGGTGAGGCTAACCAATTAATTATAGAGTTGCTAATTAATCAGAAAAAGCAGCAGAGCTGTATTCTTGCTCTTCAAAGAACCGAGAAGCAAATTGCTTTATATCACACAAGCAAATACTAAGGGATGTCTAATAATCTCTCAGTTCAAGAAATGTGTGTGGAGGGCACACAATTGTGCCTCTGATCAATTAGGGGAGTCCAAGTTACACCCCCCCCATCATGTACACAAAGGAAAAAGAGATTGAAGACAGTACAAGTAGGTCTCCTCTTACAACAGTTCATTTAGTGACTGTTTGAAGTTACAACAGCACTGAGGAAAGTGATTTATGACCGTTTTTCACACGACCATTGCAGCATCTCCACGGTAATGTGATCAAAATGTGGATGTCTGGCAACAGACTCATATTTATAATGGTTGCAGTGTTCCAAGCACCTTCTGCAACCTTCTGACAAGCAAAGTCAGTGGGGAAGCCAGATTCACTTAACAACCGTGTTACTCGAGAGGCATCTTTTTCACCATATACCCAACAAATGCAAAATGATTTTGCCAATCAGAGAGACATTTGATAATGGGTATAGCCACTGGGTAGAAGTTCACTGGAGGAGCCCACACGGGCCATCATGCCCATTTGGGAAATGTATCTGGGATCTGAATGCCATATTGAGACTGAAGCAAAACTACTAATTATGAAGGGCTGACAATTCATCAGTCTGTAAGAAAAGCCAAGTTCCAAATTATCCCTTGTGAATGTTTGATGACCTGCTTAAAGATTCCAAACTAACAATTCAGGAATTCATCCTGCTTCCAGTAGGATACATGGTGAAGTAAATGTCTTCAAAGGAATGGAGACACCTGATCAGTGCCTAGATGGTGTTTTCTGAGTGGCCAATCCAGATAAAGGAGATTATCCGGATAAAGGAGGGTGTGAGAGGGTGTGAGATTGCCCACTTGCATTCTGGACAGCTGTTCCTTATGAATAAGCAGCAGGAATTGAGGGTTCTGCTCAATTGTGAGTTGAATACCTCAGAGTTGAGCAAATTCCATCAAGCTCAGAATGGCAATGTATCCCTTATAGGTACAGTGCCAAACTCATTTCTTAATCACTTTGGGAAAATGGATCTTAGTAGCTTTTCGGCTATTAAGAATCTTACAATGGACAAGTCTGATAACATGCACTGGGTGACTTCAATCCTTAGCAGAAAAAAAAGTTCCAAAGAATTTAAGGAGAAGAAAAAGACAAACACCCTCCCTTCCCTCTTTTTTGGAATAAATAGCAACAGGATGACTAAAATATTGACTCTGACCCCTGAAGAGACCTGAAGTAGTTTCAGAGGAACAGAGGAAATTTAATCTCCTCCAGCATTGCCAAGAAAAATTCCACATGTGGTTATTTTTTTAGAGTGTAGATTCATATATAACAGTGCATAACAGTGCAACTGGCCAGTGTGTGTGTGTGTGTGTGTGTGTCTTTTACAGGTAGTCCTTGACTACCATTCATTTAGGGACCACTCAAAGTTACACCAGCACTGAAAAAAGTGACTTAGGCCTGTTATGTCCTGGGCCGGCAGGCACAGGCTGCAGTGATTGGCCCGGGCAGACCACGTGGATGCCCGGGACAAGAAAGGCTGCTCCCAGCCTTGCGTGCACATGCATGGCGGGAAAAGATCCTTTGCAATAATTGGCCAGCAAGGTATTGTGCAGGGGGGCTATAAAAGGGGGGCCGCACCATTTTTAAAATCTGTTCTGTTGGTGTTTGCAATAAAGGAGAACTGTTGGAACTCGTTGCTTCGTCTCAATGCCTCTTTTCCTGAAACAGAACAAGTCCCGTTTTTCATAAGGTGTAAAACTATGGCAACATCCCCATAGTCCTGTGATCAAAATTCAGATGTTTGGCAACCGATTTATATTTAGGCTGGTCGCAGTGTGTCTCGAGGTCATGTGATCCCCTTTCGTGTGCTCCTGCCAAGCAAAGTCAATGGAGAAGCCAGATTCACTTAATAATCGTATTACTAACTTAACAAATGCAGTGATTCACTTAACAGCTGTTGCAAGAAAGGTCGTAAAATGGGGCAAAACTGTCTTACCAATTATCTCCCTTAGCAACAGAAAACTTGGGCTCAGTTGTGGTTGTATGTCAAGGACTATCTGTACAGGAGCATTAACAAGCCACTCCCGGTGGCTACTAGGAATAGAATTGATAAGAAATCAAAGGGGAAAGAAAGGGAAAGGTTTAAAAAGACTTGCAGTTTCTTGGAGACTCCTTTTTTAAAGAATGAATGGAAAGGGATGAGCCAAGAGTTAAATTCTTCTGCTGGCAAAACTACACTACAAATGGAAATTCCTTCTAAGTCAATGTTTAAAGTATTGCATTAGCAAAAATTGGGTTTAACCTAGAGGTTGCCAGCTGTCCACCCCCTTCCAAAGGACAATCTGTGTCATCTGCTACGCCTGGTTGACTTTTTGCAATCAGTTAACCAATTAACCAGCCTGAATATGGACTTTGAACAGTTCACTGCACATCAGACAGCAAAGGGTAACTCTTGTCTTTAATATAGCAATATGAAAAAAGCCTCACAGCCCTGCCTTCTGCATATTGACTTAGAAGAATCCTGCTCCACAGTGTTTAAAGACTTTCTCTTCTGTTTGAAAAGAGTTTTCAGTGAAGAGGTTATTAGCAGCTTGTCAAAATGAAGGCATCAAAACAGTGGTAGGATTTAGCCAGTTTGCACCAGTTCGGCAGAACCGGTAGCAAATTTTTTGTTGCCCAGGCCCAGAACGGACTTCCAGAAGCAGCATCCACACAGAGAACCGGTTGCTCACATATTTGAACCCCACCACTGCATCAAAAGCTTTCCCTTAGATCAGCCTGAGCTTCATCTGTTGAACTGATATCTGCCACAAAGTACAGTTTCACCACCCTTCAGTTGTTTCTAAAATCCATACAGCTGCTTACAGAGTCTTGACAGCTAATAGCAATTACCACAAATATCAGTCAGGTAAATTTGTGTTGTGCCAGCAAGCTCCTTCATCAGATAGCCTTTTTTTTTTACACTTCTCAATTAATTAATCATTTGTGTCAGTTCCCTGACAGCTTGTCTCCTAGGACTCTTTTATTTTAAAAATCCAAAAATTGCTTGCCAAATGTATTTCACACAGCCATCTCCTCCTCCTCCTCCTCTTCCTCCCAGCCAATTTTCAGATACTAAAAAAAGAAAGCTTTAATGCCTTTCAGATCTGCCCTTTGTCCCTTTCCAAGTCTGCTTTTGCTTACTTTTTTAATTGGAGTTCATCTCTCTCCCCCCCTCTCTCCTTTCCTAGTCCATTTCTCCCTTTCCTTAACCAATATTGGCAAGATTACAACGTATAAAAAATGAAGGTTTAAGCTGATACAGTACCATTTACTTTACTTCCCACTTGGTTTGGATTTTAAAATTAGGCAACGCTTTTCCAAAATAAAATAAATATGAGACTAGCTTCTAAGCCCCCATTTTTCCTTTGTTCCAACTCTGCTGCAAGTAGATTTGGCTTACACTGAATTTGTATTAGGTTAACTCAGGAATATGAATGAACATCTTTTCATTGTATTTCATTTGCAGAGAGCAAGGGGTATGAATCAATTCACCTCAGATTTCTTTACTAACCTCCAAATCTTGGATCCAGCTGAAGGCTCTTGGTTGAAACCTTTATCGGAGTGTCTGCCACCTTATTCAGAGCGTTTGCACAATGCCTGCTCCTGAACAAGTTAGGCACTTTTGTCTGAGAGGCCCACCAATACTTGAAATCCAATCTTTTTTTTTTTTTTTTGCTCAGCCTTGCTCCGGCAAGGAAGAAAGGTCAATACTCAGTTGGAGCCTTCTCAGATTTCAAGAGGGCAATCCTTATGCAACAAGGAACAAGAATGTCCAGTTGCTTCCTGAAAAAGTGCCTTTGGGACAACCATAACCTGGATGACTGAGAACCTCCATAAACATTTAGCTATGCACTTTGGGATGAACAGCCTTCAAATGGTGCAGGAATATGAATGGATTTCCAGAAAACATTGCAGACTACAGAAGCCATTTGCACTTCAGTTTGAGATGCAGACAACACAGACTCATCCCCAACAGCCTGGGCCTGTCTTCAACAGTGAAGGGACACAGGGCAGAAAAATATCCTGCGGCCAAGAAGGCTCCATACATATTTGCACTACTCAGGTGACCCTGAAGACACAGGTAAACCACTTCAACAACTCTCTGAATGAATGCAAATGACCAGCTGTCTGTAAGGAATATAAATCCTTCCATTCCCCACCATCCAGTCAGAGCTGAAGAAGCTTCTTGGATGAGAAACAAAATGTCTTCAAAGAAAAAAACAAGAAAGTGTTTTTGGTTACCCCCTGGTTGTGTTCAAGTGAGTTTTGTTGTTGTTAAGACTCTCACAGAAGCCCATCAAATTCTGGTGGATTTCTAGAATTCCAAGAAATTGATTTGACTGATTGATTCTGTGCCTCCTAGCAGCTACATAGATCAATCTTCTCCATGACAAAAAACAGTTGGAAAAACAAGGGTTCAGCCCCCAGATACCCAACCAAAGAATCATAGAATCATAGGATTGGAAGAACTTCGGAGGTCTTTATGTCTACTCCCTTGCCAGTTCAGGAATCCCCATATTTCAATAAATAATTCAGGGGTGACCCTGAAGATGGATCAGCCATAGATTTGATAAAGAAACTCAAGCCTCAAGTTTGAGGATGCTAAGCTATTAGCCTTGGTCCTGTTCAGCTGCTATTCTTACAAGCATTCTTTTTCCCCAGATTTGCGGGTTTTTATTATTAGTACCTCTTCCAAGTAGCAGAAGATTAGACAAAGCAAACCTATAGAAGAGGGGAGCCTGCCTCTGTGCCATTTTATTGTCTCCACAAAGCATCAGCTTTCTTCAATGCCCCTCGGCATTGAATCTCGGTTCACATTTCATTTGAGGAAGCTCCATGCCCCAAAAGGCTATTGCATCTGAGAGAAATGCCCAGATACTACATAATGTGTTTCCTGACAATGGTGTGATGCATGAAAACAGACATGCATGCTTAAATGTTGAAGTGAGCCTTAGAAATGGAATCAATCAATCTATCTATGCATACTTAGGCATGTCTCCTTTAATACAGGACATGTGTTATATAAAAGAATCTATTCTGTGCCAATCATGGTTATAGCATGAGAAATGCTGGCGTTTTTCTGTGAGCAGCTCCTGGGTGTGGTGGGATAATATCCAAATAACACAAATCATTTGGCAAAGACTAACTGTGGGCGGATCCAGATAAGGCATTCACAACCTTTGTAACAGCCAGGTCCATGGCAAAGAGCCACGCCTGAGGTCCACTTCTCTTCAGCCGTGAGCAGCAATATGGGTCCCTTGCAGCCAAAGGAGTAAAGAATTGTGTGGCATCATAAAGAGCAGGGGTCTACAAACTTGGCCCTTTTATGACTTATGGACTTCAACTCCCAGAATTCCTCAGTCAGGGTGCTAATAAAGAGGAAGGGCTTTTCCACAGTTCAGTCTTAAGTATAAACCAGTTGGAAAAGAAGCTGATGCAAGAACTCCCATTCATATTTCAATCCTTACCCCACATACCCTCATCCATGATTCCCTCTTATACAGGTAGTCTATTTGTTTAGTGATTATTCAAAATTACTACAGCACTGGAAAAAGTGACTTATGACAGTTTTTCACACTTAAGACCCTTGCAGCATCTCCGTGATCAGGTGATCAAAATTCAGATGCTTGGCAAGTGGCATGTATTTATGAGGGTCGCAGCCTCCCAGGGTCATGTGATCACCATTTGCACCTTCAGACAAGCAAAGTCAAGGGGGAAGCCAGATTTCATGATCGTATTGCTGACTTAACAACGGCGGCGATTCACTTAACAACTGTCTTGCTTAGAAATGGAAATTTTGGGCTGGGATGTGGTTGTGAGTCGAGGACTACTTGTATGTCACTCCTTCTCATTTGGTATATCCACAATCAATGGGAGAAAGGAAGGAATCAGCTTCCAAGATTGCAGCTTTCCATTAATGAACTTGTTAAAAAAAACAAACCCAATCTTTTACCAACCCAGTAACTCAGAATAAAATGGTGTCTGTGAAGAGCAACAATGCACAATTGGTACACAGTAGCCAACTGGGATGGAGATGTTTGCCTGCAATGAAATGTTCGACATATAAACCAAGAGCACTACTTCCATCAGCCCAAGTCAGAAAACCCTGGCTTACAGCCATTTATTTAGTGATTCTTTGAAGTTACAACAGCACTGGGAAAAGTGACTTATGATAGTTTTTCACACTTACAACTGTTGCAGCATCCCCTTGGTCACATGAACAAAACTTGGATGTTTGGCAACTGGCATGTATTTATGATGATTGCACTGTCCTGGGGTCGTGTGATTCAATTAACAACTGTGGCAAGAAAATGGGGCAAAACTCACTTAACAACTTAGCTTAGCAATAGAAATTTTGGGCTCAATTATGGTCCTAAATTGAGGATTACCTGTATGCCACCCAGAGTCATTGTATGTGAGCTGGTTGGTGGTATAAATTTATTTAATAAAGAAGGCTATTTACTAGCTTTAGCAAAGACACTGGTAAATGCCCTCCAGGCAATATCCACGTGAGATTTCCAAGATGACCTAAAAACTAGTGTGATCATCCCAAGCTTAATTAAAAGTAAATACTTACAGGAGTAAACATGCAATGCTCCTTGCGATGGACAATAGGCATGTACAGTATGCTGTGTTCTGCCATGGCACGTCCGTGCCAAGGGGTTGGTTTGTAAAGTTTTATAACCATTGTGTACACAATAAATGGTTGCAATACAAGTTGTGTGAGCAACTAATCTACCAACTGAGAAACGCCTTTTTGTGACCTCCTTAGTTTTTCTGCACCTGGCATTACCCCCACCTGCATTTCCAACTGTAGCCTCTGCTGTGCATCATACTAATTTTTATATTAAAAGTCCATGCAGTGGTTAAACATGGTTCAGGATACACAATGAAGGATAATTCGGTCATTTTGTTCAGAAGCAGTCTTTTCATGTGTTATTGTTGCTGTCCAAGCTGCTCTTTTCTTAAGAACTTGTGTTCATGACTTTTGAATGTAAGTTGTATATAAATGTATGCAAAAATGAAGCAAATGTATTGGTTGCTGCTAGTGTGCAAGGAACTGCTCTAATGAAATGCAATCAAGTATCCATATAGTCACCAGAAGCTGAACTCAAGTGGAAGGTGACTTTTCTTCATATAGTTTACTAGACAACCTGTGCCCTGCTGGGTCATTGTTATACAGAGAAACAAAATGACCAAGGGAGGGCAAAAAAAGCAGGAATGACTTCCAAATTCCAATCCCTCATTTGAGTTTCCTTGTGGGAAACTGGCAGGGAGCATCCGAAATCTCCTTCCCTTTCCTTCCCAGCACGAACGAAAGTGGTTGCTGCTGGGTGGGGAAGGGAGGGAGCGAGGGATTGTGAGACTGGCTGGGAAACTGTCACAAAATGTTGACAATGAAGATCAGATGACTGCAGCAACCAAGAAGCACAGCAGGAGCCAGTTGGTCTGAAGCAGCCACAACTTTTCAAAATCTCATTTCTTCAGAAATCAGGAGTGCCGGATTTTGGACATTTTCTATAAGTTAGCCCATCTGAAGTACCTTTGTTCAAAAATGGTTGCCTTATGATATACTGTTTCAACCAGTGAAAGGTCATGACAAGAGTTTTAGCAGTATATAGATTTTCACAGATAAGATAAAATCTTTTGATATCTTCAATTAAATCAAACCTGCCGCATTATAGTATAGAAGTGAATGAATCAGATAATTTCTGTACCTGATCCTCTCTGTTTGATGGAAACCATCACTAAGCAATAATATTTCTTGCTTGATTGATTGTTCGATTGATTGAGTAAATGTTTATGTCGCCCATCTCTCTACCAAGAGGCTCTGGGCGGCTAATGTCTTCTTAAAGTGTTAATTTTAAGAATTAATTAATTAAATAATTAATTTAAGATCAGACATGTTATTCAGTTGCTAAGTTTTGTCTGACTCTTTGCAACCCCATGAACCACAGCACACCAGCCCCCCCAAGTTCTCCACTGCCTCCCAGAGTTTGCCCAAATTCATGTTCACTGTGTCAAATGTGTCAATTGAGACACATTACTGATAGCTTAATTCTGAAGAGATGTGTCTACTTTTAAATAATCAAATAAATATTGGTTTGGAATATTTTATTTCAGGTTAGTTTAATGGTACTGTACTGTACCCATTTCATCTTTACTTCTCTTGATCTTTCTACTGCTTGATCTTTCTACTGCTCATTTAGCTTTCCACTGTAATTATGTGGATTGATCCGGAAATACAGACCTGCAAAGTTATATATTCCCTTACAATCACCTGAAGTACAGTTACTGCCTCATCTAAAGTCAGCATTTCTATCTACAGCAGTGACTGGTCCCAGATTCCCAGCCAAAATTTAATGGAATGTTTTTATTGCTTCAGCTGCCATTTTCTCATCCATTGGAGGTTTTCGTGCACTGCCAGGCTGCAAAAATTTCTTAATTGTGGGAATGTTACTTAGTCTTCCTTTAAAAGCCTAAAAAAAAAGGAAAAAGGAAAAAAGTTTAGAAGGAAAAAAAATGAATTTTTACATGGCTAAATTGACATGGCTAACATTTGAACAACCTGCAGTTATTATATTCTGAAGACTCATTTATTTGAAAGCTGCTTTTGATCTTGGTTGCAAACTGTACTCATCAAAAGAGGCATATCTGTCAACACAAA